GTAGATTACACCTTTAAAAATAACATATTAAAATTTCAAATCGATATCTCAAATAGTTTTTGAGTTACAGCCATTTAAAAAGTATACATATAGTATATAATACAACGATCATTTTATCTTTAAACGCGTTTTTCTCGAAACAGCATTTTCCGAATTTGCTGCAGTGATTACTCAAAACCGAATGATCCGATCACTATCAAATTTTTTTTACATGTTCTCTATATAGTTCTCCGTAAAATGAACTATCGATTTTTTGATCGGATCAAAAATCGAAATTTGGCAGTCGAAAAACGACCAAAATTTTGGGTAAAATTCGACTTTTTTTTAAAACGCCGCCATTTTGTCAATTTTTGATTTATTTTTTTTTATTGTAGTTCATTTTACAGACAATATCATCTAGTTTAACGAGGATTATTTTTTTTTTTGATTTCATCCACGTAGTAGGCCGGAATCACTGCAGCAGTTAAGGGCCTTTTTTTGTCGCGCCGTTGGAGATCGACGATAACTTAAAAAATATTTAATTTTTTTCTTCAAAAATTACTATGTATTCTTAAAGCATGTATAAATATATTTCTAAAATTTTGAAATGATTGATAAAGTAGTTTTTTTAACATAAATTCCCAAAAATCACATTTTTTTTAAGCGGTTACACTAGTTGTGCCCCTTAATTAAAAGTAAGTAATAAAATATGGAGCATACTAGTTCAGCAATGCTAACATTATTTTCGTATAAAGATACTATTTTTATTTTCAGAGTTGATGATTTACTGCAACGGTAAAATTTTTAAATAATTTTATTACAAACTATGAAATGAAAACAAGCGAAAAATGATTAAAAAATTTGATAATACTATTGAATTAAACACAATAATATTAAAAGTTATTTGACATGTATATGTGTTAAAGAAAATATGTACTTTTATGATTGTTATGTTAGAAAATTATGTTATATAATGATAATTCATTTCTAAAACTCACCAATTTGTACATGATGATTGGTTTTGTTTAGTTTCAGTGCACAAAACTAAATTAGCAAATGTATCAACTGGATAGCCAATGAATCGACTGATGCTTCTGCCGTCCTTCGGACCGACTTTTATACGAAATTTTTGGTAAAGACGCCGTGACAAAAATTCAAATACAAAAAAAAACCTGTCATTATAGATCAGTTATCATAACAATGCGGATGTATTAACAATAAGTTTAATAACACCCTCTGCCTAAACGATCTGATCGTCCTTGGATTATGTTAATCGGAATAAATTATTTATAATGCTATTATTTCTTTTAGGTGTTTAAAAAAATGTCAATAGCAAATAATTTAGTTTAATTGCTCTATATTTTTAATCTTTTTTTGTATTTTATTAAAAACTTATATAAATTGATATTCATATAAAAAATAAATAGTAATGACATTAAAACAATTACCACACCAAAATTGCATTTTTTTAATATTTTTAAAAATCTGTCTTCAGAATTTACCTCTAATACATTTTTCATTTTCTATATAAATGACACATGTCATATAAAGAACATAATGACATAAAAATGTAAAGACTACAAAGATTTTTAAATTCGATTATTTCTACAAAGATTTTTAATAGTCACAATTTAGCATTTCTATTCATTCGATAAATCTTGTGTATGCTCAACAATATAATATTGAAACAAACCTTCTGTGAACAATATTTGTAAACTATATTTCATATAGGGGATTTATTCCTTTAAAAAGTCACAAATTCTTCTATGTTTATTTAATGTATAATTTTATTAATGTTTTGGAAATGAAATAATTTTTAATTAAAATGAATATCGTTAGGCCGAAGATAAAGCAATAATTACACAAGTTTTTTTAATTTTCACTATTAAAGGATATCTATTGAGACTAATCAATAAAGCTATTGAATTATCAAATTATAATTTTGAAAAAACTAAATAATAAATTTAATGTAAAGGGTGTTTTTAAAAAAATATGATCGCCAGACAAAGTTTGCATTAAAACTTTTATTATTCCAAATGCCCTGACCCTTTGAGATAAATAAATTTCCATCGCGTCTTCCAGCAAAAGAAAACATAATTTTTTATGCAATTTTTTAAGTGAAAAAATAACTTAAATCAGATTTAAAAATATTGATAATTTTGTTATTTTGCTTGATATCTGTAAATATGTGTGAATCATTAATCACATACAGATGTAGAATCGATTACATTACATGATAATCATTATACCAATAGTGTAATGATTATCATGCAATGTAATCTATTGACTCTTACATCTGTTTGAATTATTTCTATTTTGATTTTATAATCGCAACATCAAAGGATCCTAATCTTAATCTACTTAAGGATCGGTGGCACCAGATTTAAAATTTCAACCGGCGAACACACCTTCACCTTGAATCGTACAACTTCCACATAATTAATTAGATCATTGGTATTATGTGTCGTTCAAGGACAAGTGCCAAAACTGTGCACCGGTTATCCAAAGCAAAATCTGTACCAAACAGAGTATATGAGTCAAATATTATGGTCTAGACAAATTAGTGTATATAAAATCGCTTTTGAACAACATATTTGTTTATAAACAATTCGACAACGCGATAATGCAAAAACCAAAAGTGATTTTATAGAACTAGGTTTCACTTCAAAGATTTTATTACCTTGAATAACATCATTAAAATTATTATTAGTGCTCGCTGAGAAATAATTAATTAATATTTATGCATTAATTAAATGTTCTAATTAATTGTAATTTGTATTTAATTTACTAAAATCAGTCATATAAAGTTTAAAATTTACATTTTTGTTAAATTAAAGAACGACTATCAATAAAACTGTTTCATGCAAATGATGAATGCAACTAAAAAAACTATAAAAATGATCATGAATTCGCTATTCTTCTAATATAGAAAAATATGTAAGTAGATCGATCTTTAAACATGACCAAGAATTTATGGAAAAACAATACCAATAAGCTAATACACTTGATGCCTGAATAATGAAGTTTGATATAAATCGAATAATTTCTAAATTGCCATGATAAATGATGATGATGCCGAAGAAACGACTTGGTCCATTTTTATCGAAATTTCATCGAAAGGATTCCCCAGCAATTTTCAGGAAGTCCAGACCAGAAAAGTTGCATTCGATGACATGTAACTGCAATGAAAAGTATTGTATGTTTTCGCAAACTGGAAGTAAATACCAAATGATACATTTCGAACGTCTTTTGAATTTTCAAAACCGATTCAAGTATTTCCGCAAAAAACACGATCAATTTTTTTTCCTTATTCACAATGAACGATTATCAAGCTGCTGTATTTTCAAGTTTTATAGACTAATTGAAGTAAACCAAAAACTACGCTAAAACCATTATGTTAAAAAAAAATACAGTGAAGTACGAGTTGAACTCGCTCATAAAGAACTATATAAAATTTCATCGCTAAAATTGTTATACGTAAATAAGTAATATTTAAACAATTTAGAAAACTGGTCTTGGTTATAAATAATTCGTCTGCTTATTTCAAATCTATGATAATTATCTAATTCCATACAAGATAATCTATAATCATTTAAAAACTATTATGACAGCATACCTGATGCTCAAATAGCTTAAAAAAGTGGTCATAATATGCATATATCAAGTTTGAAGAAACTATTATACAAATAGCAACCATTCAAAATACATCATTATTTTAATTCGTATAAAAACTGCAATCTTTATTTTAATTCGGGCATTAATAGCAAATGTTTTGCATTATGCAAATGCTGGTAAAATGTTATGTTGTATTGGGATGACTTTTTTCAGAAGAATCTTGAAAAATTTAAATTCTTCGAATAATATAAATTCTTGTATAACAGAACTTTAGAGTTTGCCTAATGAAAAGATTAAAATGAACTTGTATTATAAATAAATTTTATAAGTAAATATTTTACTCTTATTATACAAAACTTATAATTGTATAATATACTAATATTTCCTTGAAAGGTTTGAATATA